TTCCAGCCGCTCCTTCCGCGCCAAGGAGACCGAAGGGCACCGCTCCGCACCCGTGCTCACTGGGGCCCTGCACGGGCGGGCGTTCTTTCTCACCGCCTTGCATCCGTGCAGACAGGCTCGGAGAGTTCAGGTGGCTCCCACTCGCCTGCAATCCATGCAAAGCACCCATCGCTCAGGGAAGCCGTCCCTTTCCCTGCAATGTAGTCCGTTTCAGTTTCACACCCGGCACTTGCCTTGAATTACCCTTTTACTCACCGCTGTGTCTGCAGTGCCCAGCACAGCGTACATGCTCAGTAACCGTTGGTGTAAGACATGAATGTGGGCTTTGGTAAAATCCCCAGTGCGTGCAAGGGGGAGAAGGTGTTTGAACGCAGGCCCCTAGCTCCAGGGGTGCTCATCCTCCTCCACCCGGCCCCCCACTTTATTCTGTTGACACGGAGCTGAGTCAGTCATGTCTGTTTGTGACACATCATCACTCTGAACCATTTCCCTCTTCCTCTCCCCATCTTCCCTCCGTCCGTGGGCTCAGCCCGTGTCCTTGAAGCCTGCCTGGCTTTCTACGACCCGTGACACTGGCTCTTCTTATGTGGATGTGCTCCCATGTCACGAACATGGTGTCATGTAGGACACTCATTCTGTTGTGGACATTTGTGCGTTTTTACCCTCGATACCAATGTTCTCCACATGCGTCTCCTTTGCTGCTTCTTCTGGCTGCATGTTGAGCGCCCAGTGCTTTCACTGGTATTGTCCGCCATCCCCACCAAGTGACCACACTGAGCGTGGCCCGAGGCCCCCATCACGTCACACACATCACCGCTAGGGACGTCTTCACAGGGTCCCATATGGGCTGTCGGAGACTTCTGCTTGAGGCAGGGCTCCTAGGCCATAGCGTCCACGCACCCTGACTTCACAGAGTCCCGCAGATGCTGGGTGGTTGTGTGAATTTGCACACCCGCATTGTTAAGTGCACAGTTCAGGAGTATTAAGTACACATCGGTGTACAACCGACCTCCAGTACTTTTTCATCTTACAAAATTGAAACTCTCTACTCTGTAAACAACTCTTCATTTCTCCCTTCCCCCCCGACCACCATTCAACTTCCTCTCTATGAATTTGACCACTCTAGGTACCTCATATATTTTAAAAATATGTTTTTGTTGAGTAGTATTTCACTGTATGGATGCTGCCACATATTGTGTATCGTTCACTTGCTAATGGACATTTGGGTTGTTTCCACCTTTTGGCTATTGTTGTATTTGTTGCTTTTCATGACTTGAAGGACGCTACTGGCATCTAGTAAGTAGAGATCAGCTATGCCGTTACAAAAGGACAACCTTCACCACAACAAAGAATTAATTATCCAGTCCAAAATGTCAATAGTGCTGAGGTTGAGAAACCTTAGCATATGCTGTAAAATGACTACTACGGAGAAAATGATTCAGGGATTTCACTTGATACTCAATAGCATCTGAATGAGTCATCTATGATACCAGCACACAAGACCTTACTGCCCTTTTATTTCAATCCTGTTTCAAAAAACTACCTGTCTTTCATCTTTCATATAGTCCTTTCCAAGGAGGATAAAGGACCTATATAACACAGGGCAGTGGG